AACCCCCCCCCCCCCCCAACCTCAAATTGTTTCATCACTGCAGCTCTCCTCTGAATTCTCAAAATCTCTGAATTGCCAGTACAAGCAAAACATTCCAAACACCCATTAAGATCAAATTCTACTTATTTTAACTTCAAATACTTTTTGTAGTAAAAAAAGCTAGGAGTCATCAACCTTTTCCATCTAGGCGAGGCCTTGCCATGGTGATATCTGGTACTGAAGGCTTAGCAGATATCACTGCAGCTCTCCTCTGAATTCTCAAAATCTCTGAATTGCCAGTACAAGCAAAACATTCCAAACACCCATTAAGATCAAATTCTACTTATTTTAACTTCAAATACTTTTTGTAGTAAAAAAAGCTAGGAGTCATCAACCTTTTCCATCTAGGCGAGGCCTTGCCATGGTGATATCTGGTACTGAAGGCTTAGCAGATAATTCCAAGCCTAAAGACACTCGGAATGCCCATGTAAGCACTGGTACGAACTAACCTGTGAGGAGAGCACGATGACTCGGATTTAAAAAATGTGGAACATATATTATTTTCCTCCCAAGGAAAGCTAGAACCTTTAGATGTTTCTTTATCTTATACAGATATTCCTGAAATTCAGTTTCCAGAACACTTCTTTCACTTTGCTTAGCCTCTCTCAGTTCAGTGTGAATGCCAACTGACCACGATTTATTTGCTATTGGGAAAAAAAAGGAATGGATTTATCATACTGAGTGAAAACTTAATGGCAGAGCCAACAGGCTTTCCCCCCCGTCTCCCCAGAAAGCTTAGAAATCCCTACAGATAGGTATTTCCGTTGTCATTACCTAGAATATTTCATTCCAAAACCCATGCGCAGTTTTTAATGACAAAAAAACCTGATGCCATCATGGAAACGCACAGGACAGGAACTCCAACTTGCTACTAAGACAGTGAAACTGCCAGCTGAACTCTCCACAAACTGTAACTGTTTTAAATCAGTCAAATGTAAGACGACCACATTAAATTGTTTCAGATGCCACTGTTTCCAGCAGAAACTGAAGGTGACACACCAGAACAGAAGACAAGAAAAAAAACAACCCTCATCCAAATACAAAGTCTACTTTTCCAACTATTTACCCAAGATTTACCATCCTGAAAGCTTCCGTTTCCTCCTTTCTTTCCAGTCTCTTCATCTCACTCTACAAACTTTACAACACCGACAATTCCACAAGACTACAGTTCAGTTCAGGTAATACACTCTAGGAGCTAGTACAAGAAACAGAATTAAGGATTTAATTTGAATACATTCATAACTGACCTATATTCTAGAGTAACTTCCATTTATAATGGAAGGACTAGGTAACTCTGTGGGAGTAATTCACATCTAAGTGAATTTTGAGCCTGTAAACTTAGCATGTTAATGAACTACAAGACCAATACTAGACATGACAAACAGCAGGTGAACATCTTGCAAGGGTCAGAAGAAACATCTGCAATTACTTTTTTTTTAGATGTGTTGATAAGTTTGAATAAAATTGCTGAAATACCAAAGAATGTATGAGATGTCTCGTTTCATTTTTTAGTTCCACAACAAGAGTACTGTGGAAAACCTCTGGAAACTGGCATTACCAGTGAAATACAAAAGAGATCTTGTCTAAGTAGGTTGCAACTACACCAATTCTGGGCCTTTGTTGGGATCACTGACCATTAGACTTGCTTTTTCCAGTTTTGCTTCCTAAAAGACCTGTATTCCATTTTACTTCATCCTTATTACTGTTTTAGATGATTAATTATGAAAAGCCTTAACCAGGAAAAAATTCAATTTCAGTTTCCTGAACAACTTTACAGAGCATTATTGAGGGGTGCAATCCACTTCTGCACGCTAGATCATGCATCCTTCAGTTATTTCAACAACTGAGCCTCTTCTGTTGTCGTCACAAGCTAACAGAAGTGTGCTGCAGCGCTGCAAGAGCTTCTTCAAAACCCCTCTCCTTTTAATAGTGCTCTTCATGTGCTTTGCAGTCAATCTTTCCTAAATGCCAGATTTAAGTGTTAATTAATGTAGGCCGCGTGACTGCTTCATTTCATCCAAATCTACAGTCTTCATTAAAAAAAAAAAAAATAGAAGTGGAAAAAAATTCTGGCACAGTGCAAAACCCTTTGAACCCTCGCAGCTCTTCCAGTACAAAAGCAACACTCCATTTGTGTACTAAACCCAGCACAAGCTTTGTCTAGTTCAACTCCTGCTGAGTTTATTATACCATTGCTTCTTAAGTTCAGAGTTATTACAGTATCCGATTCTCTCCATTCAATTTATTATGGACAACAGCAGTTGAAATTGCCCCAACATCTCCAATAACATAACGAAACATTCTCCAGATTGCAAGTTAGCCTCACAACCCTTCTCTGACTTCTTGTTACAAATTCTGACCATCCACCCACAAAGGAGCAAATGCAATACCAAAAGTAATTTTGCATTTTGATAACGACATTCAAAGATGTTTATCATATACTTACCCAATAAATTTCAGCTCTGAAAAGGACATGTAGCAATTCCTCCGTTTTATACAGTCTAAGCTGTTACATAGTTATCTAACCTTGCACATCGTCTTAGCACATTATGGGCAAATAATCTATTTACAGAATTTTCAAGTTTTTATTTCACATCACTGAAAAACAATGAAATGGAAAACTCTCAAAACCTTAGGAGTAGGACTTACTTCATCTGGAGACCCCTCTATAAAACTGAAAGCAATCCAGCAATGAGTAGAGACTGAACTTAATTACTCTTTTCATGCTAACTGCACTGTCCTAATTTTGAAAAATGCTTTCCCCCATCCCTATTATAGTGGGGTAAAGCTCTGGTATTTTACAGTTACCAATGAAGCCTCCTGTTCTTCACATCATGTCTTAAATGGTGCTATATTCAGTTACACCAAAAGGTGAAGGATGGAAATCCAAGTACCACATCAGCCACCTCCTTAATCTTTCATGTAACATTAGTCTGGACAGGCCATATGAATGTCAGATATTTTTTTTCCCGTCCTCTTCTAAAGAAAAAAAATAATTTTTTTGATGGCCCTTCAGTTCTCCTGAATTTAACGACTAAAAGCTTCTCAGTCAGCAGGCTGAAGATCAGGAGTGAAAAAAATCTGTATTTTAACCTGTTCAGCAAATACAGCTCAACGTCATCAGGTATCACCCACAAATGCAGACGCTGCAGATACGATGTTGAATTTACCACCCAGCATTATCCAACTGAAACACTGGATGCTTGTCTTGTCTGTATGAAAGCTTCATCATCCCCACTAGTACTGGCTTATGACTAAAATTCCTTTTGTTCCTTATACACTTAAACAAGCTCCTCCTTGCTGTGACTGAATTTAATGAAATATTTATAAGATTTTATTTCCTTGATTGTCTGCACTTAATTTCAAAAGTTACTGAAGTTTCTATGTAGAAGTTACTAGTGTCTGCGTCCTCCAATGTTGCTGAAAAACTGGTTTATTTTAAACCACAATAAGACAACTTAAAGTACTTTTCTGTAAAAAAAAAAAAAAAAAGGAATTTAAGAATACAAAAAAAATTTTTTTCAGCATTGCTTGCATAAACACTTTAGTAAAATGATAAGCTACAATTAGCATAGAGCAAGCATGCCTAAGCAGAGCTTGATAAGCTATGCAAATCATCAGTTACTATCTTTCAGTTCAAGGACCCATTCTAATTATTTCCCCCCCCCCAAGGAATTTATTTTTCTTCATGGAATATGGATACTCCCTTTAGAAATCATCCTTACTGTGATGCTTCTAAGTATCTTCCTGATGGTATACACAAAAGCTTCAGCATCTCAATGGATGCAAAAATAATCTATAAACTGAAAGACGTTCAAGAAGTTGACCATGTTCTTACATCTAATCTGGTGGTTTATAGAAGAATCTCCAAAAGAACTCCTGTATCAAAGACTAGTAACAACAGCGTGACTGAGAGTATTCAAAGTGTTTAGAATAAACTACAAAACAACCTGCTAGGGACCAAAACTTTGCAGAATAGGTAAGTAAGGAAATAAAGCTCGAGCATTTTCGGAACCAAGCTGAAGTTTGCTCACAGCTTGCTAGCAAGATGCACAGGTTCAACCATGACCTTGAATTTCCTGGTGTGCTTACTGACTAGGCTTTGTCCTTTGGGGAGGGGGGCAGAAATCTTTAAAACCCTTCCAATCATCCTTAAGAAGAACAGCTGGTGTAACAGGAGGCAGGAAAAAGCAGAGCAAAAAGATCTTAGAAATTTTAAGCAAAACGAAGGAGCACTGTACAAGCCCCTTGAGGGTAAGCAGTTATCAATGTTTGCAAATGCCAGTGACAAAGCCAGCGTAAGGAGAAAAAGAAACACCCAAATAATTGCCTCCATTCTCATCCAGTGAACACTCCCATAAACATCTCCAAGTATCAACAGCATGTGACCTCACTATGAGCAAAATGCTTTACTTGGAGCACCAAGTCCTTAAATAAAAGGAATACTCAAGTTTAATATCAAATCCTATTGCAATTATTTTCTCCTCCAAGCTTCCGCACAGCTGTAACTACTTTGTCTTTATTACAGAACCACATTCCAAGAAGGTGCAGCTGCTCTTAAAGCCCACCCACTTGAAAAATACATTGGACAGCTTCACCCACATCATCCTTTCAGCAAAATGTTCCCTGTGACAATTTGGCAATGTTCAACATGCTGAACATCCGTAAGACTATTTATGAATACTTTAGTTTTGCTACACAATGTTCAAGTACATACTGAAAGAGAGTTAAAGCTACAGTTAATGCGTAATGAATTCCACTTTACATTTTAAAAAGACAAATTAGTTGGTGTACAAATAATTACAGCAGAAAGATCTGATACGTCTTGGGGAGAAAAAAGTCTGCCTAGTATGTATCTTCTTGAAATCAGCAACAGTACTTGCGTATCCTTGAAAACCAGAAGCTTGCTATTACTGACATCAGTGACAGTTCTGGCATCAACATATCTGAGCTGGCACAAGCTATGAAAGCTCAGTATTTTTTTAAGTAAGTTTCAAACACAAAAGACTCAGTGCCACAATCCAAAGGGACACATCTTGTGTTTTTTCATATCTTTACCCACAGTATTAGAAGAGAGGCATTTACACTACTATATAACCAGAACTCTTGAGGACAAAAGAGAAGTGGTTCTCAAAAGCTTAAGAACAAAACAAACACCAGTCACCTCATTCTGGGGAAAAAAAGTGCCACGATAATCTCCAGTCACTTGTGTTCAAACATGCTCTGCCCAGTCTACCAAATCACAAGACCATGTTGAAGTTGTTGATTGCTATGCCTCAGAGCTCCACAGCAAGAGCTAAGAACTAAATTTAAGCACACCCCAGTTTCAGCAAGGGGCTCAGCATCTCAGCCAGTCAAACCAAGCAGAGTGTCTAAAGCAGTCTTTAAATCCTACAAAATGCCAGCAATAAATTCATTTGGTAGAGGTATGGTTTCTGTAACTAGCTGGCTGGGTTTTGCTACAGCCTCTAATGCTGATTCATGGGAGAAGCATTTCTGTTCTTATCTTGAGGGAGTTTCCACAAGTTACCCATTCTACCAAGCTTCAGGAAACTTAAGTATAAAAACATACTCTTAATAGTATTAAGCACAGCCAACTTTACAGCTTTCCTGTGACTTCAAAAAGAGGCTAACCATCACTGACGGCACAAAATGCTGAAGATCAGTCAAGTATTTTCAGTCATGAATGGACTAGACTAGTTCAGTTGAAAGGGATCACCTAGTCCAACTGCCCAACCACTACACGGCTGACCAACCGTATGATTAAAGGCATTGCCCAAATGCTTCTTAACCGCTGACAGGCTGCGGCATTGACCACCTCTCTAGGAAGCCTGTTCTAGGGTTCGACCACCCTCTCTGTAAAGAAATGTTTCCTCGTGTCAAGGAGGCATGGTGCAATAACACCTTATACCATCGCATAATCACCCTGGCAACACCACTGGGTTGGTGAACAACTTCTAAGCCACCTTTCTGAATGCAGAAATACAAGAATTTACAAAGGGAAACAAGCTGCACGGACTCTTTCAGTGTGGTAGTTTCACTATCAGTCCGTGCAAGGATGTTTTCATATAGACTGAAACAAAAGCAAGTCAACAATTCCTTAATTATTACTAATCTCAGTTGTCCTCTTCAAAACTTTCTGTGTGAGTATCTCTATACGACACCCAAGTCTTTTTCGCTTTCAGCACATTGCATGAAACAAACCTTGCTGCTGTCGCTTAAATTCCATTTATGTTGTAAACAGAGTCAAACACCTTTGAGGCACGCTTTTACGTATCTGTACAGCTAATACCTACATTGGCCGCTTTTTAAGCGATGGACCATAAGCTTTAGGGTGGACCATGAAGCCTGACAATTTAATGATCTATTTTAAATTTTAAGAAATTTTTATATAGCCTTTCCTAGTATATTCCACCTGCTTTTCCCCCATCAACCTATTATCCTGTCTCTTGCAGAATACTGAGGAGTAGGAAAGACTGATTAAGACACACAAACATAGAAGAATGCTTTCCTCTACAATACTTTAAACTTTCACTTGTAGTATAGTTTATTTTCAGGTATTTCTTATTTATCAGTTTGCACAAACATACAAAACAACAGATTAGTCTGTATATACTAACCTCTGTTCCAATGCCAGGCTGAACACCAGAATATACGGTATCTGGAGGAGGGCCCCCATATTTCCTCTGTCCTGTAGTTACATCCAAAGTGTAACCAGTCCTCTCTAGCAAAGCCTGGAAAAAAAAAAAATTGTCACATTAGTTATGGGGGGGAAGATAGTGGGTTAAAATACAAAGAATTAAAAAAAGCATCTTAAGATAAGCATTTCCTTATCTGCTCCTTGCCACATTTGATAACAAGGTATATATGGACAGACAGAACCTACAAAAACCCCTGTTATTTTGGGGGTTTAAAAAACCACCACCACAAACGGCAACATTTGCTTTATACTACAAGGCCACTGGAAAGAACTCGTTTTCCTTTTCCCTTATTTTTAATTTTATATGTAGTGCTCCAAGAGCTCCAGACGACCAGGCAATTCTTTTCACTCTGTACTTCGGTTTTTGCACAACAGAAGAGTTTCTTAATATACTAAGGCCTTGTTGAAATGTCCAATCAGTCCCAAAGTAATTTTATGAGTGCATAAAAGCTTTAAAAGGACAACTAAGACAATTCTTAAATAGGTATCAATGTTTTCATAGACCTTACATAACATGAAGTTCACGCATTTTGGCAGTTGTGTAATCAGGAAGATCCGCATTTCAAACAAGCACTCTCTTCTTCTGAATCTCTAGCATGCATGCATTTCTTTAAAGCGGAGTGTGAATATACTTATCCAGGTAGTATTAATGCTTTTTAAGTACATCCAAAATTACTTCAGTCTGCAAATCAGGTAGTACAGAACAATCCGTGTTTTCTAAATGTTACCTTAATCTTTGCTTCATCTGGTCCCTTCGTTGATTCCTGTACTTTGCTGCCTTGTTTCTCTCTTTGCCTGTAGGTCTTCATAACTCCACATAAAAATGCACTTTTGTTCTGTAGATACAATTTACAAAATAATTCAATTGTGCGTATGAAAAGCCCTGGGCATCCACCGAATCTTACACTCCATACCACGAGGTCACTACATCAAGCCAATGCAATAAACAAAATGTCAAAAGAATCCTTTAGAAAAATATAACAATTAATTGAACAATTGACTGAAAAAAAATCATCAGATTCGGGTAGTATTTTTACCTTATTTTCTCAATATCACGCTCATTTTTATTATCTGGGAGCTTTTGCTTTGCACTCAAATACCTACACATTTAAGGCAATTTTTAACAGGCTTGTGATTTGGGTTTGAAATGTCAGAATACAGCAACATCAATGAATTTCCAAGTTACAACTCTCCTGCCAATAGTGCCAGAACACTATTTATACTTATGTGCTCACACTCCTGGAGCTCTCACCTTACCTGTACATGCGACAGGTCACTTTCTTTAAACTGCTGTAATACAGAGAGGGCTCCTTCTTCATTAAATTCCCTAAGAGCATCAATTGCTCTTTCATCAAGATCGACATAAGCTACCAACCCTAAAAGTTAAAGATAAAGAAGTTACAGATTTCTATTGAACTTCATACAAACTAAGAACTATGCAGTTTGCTTTTAAAGTCAAAAAGTTATGTTCCATAGCAACAGAATTATACATTTAATGTAATTACATTTTCCTACACAAGTATATGAAAGAACATGAGTACAACAATGAAAAAAGTTAAATTAAAATGTATATACCTAAGCACTAACTGACATGCAGTGCAAGATTATACCCCATGTGTAACAGTTTCCTAACATTCAGGAATCCAATCTGCTGCATAAAAGCAGTATTACACACCAGGATTTGAAACAGTGAACTCTGGCTCACTTCTAATAATTTGGATTTTCTTTGTTTGTCTTTCGTTTTAGCTTTCACACTTCCTTCTCTTGAATGGAGCTGTTCTAGAGTAAGCTGACATGTGAACATTACAGATGTCCTATTGTACGTGAAAAAGGAGCTACCTAATTGACGATTAAATACTTATGAAGCTCTACCCCACAAAATATTATGAAATAGAATGGTTTGTTCAAAAAAAATCAGTGGACTTCCTATAGATCTAAAATATTTTTTTAACTCATTTTGTTGCTTTATGCAGTTCAAGAGCCAGAATTAAAAAAATCTATTATTTTGAGCCCTGCTATGTACCCGAAAAGGCTAATGTTAATTTTACAGGTACAGACTCCCCCAAGAAACATTGGACCAGTTCTGAAGCACTTTTTCTGTTTAAGGATCTTTACAGGTTACTTCTTTCCTTTTGCAACGCACTTGCGTAAGCTGTGGAGCGTGAGAAGTACAGACTAAGATTTGCGCTTCTTGAACTACACAGCGAAATTTAGCACAGATACCAAGAACTCCACACACTTTGCAACAGCTTGATCTCCAAAATACACAGATTATTTAACTGCTACTTGATTTCAAAAATGCACAGTAGTGCCAAGCCCAAGGACTACATTTCAGAAGTGATCCTGCATATTGGAAGGCACCTGTATCTTTCATATAAGACCTCAGCAGATTAAAAATCCCGAAGTTCAACCTCCAATTTAGCTCGGGTGTCAAAAGTAGTTTGCTTCACTGACAAACCCCTGCACAATGCAAACATCTTCAGTGGCATTAAGGAAGTGTGAATGAATGTTTTCAGGTTACTCATGCAGTGGAATTATACTAGGTAGTCATGTTCTGGGCTGAAAAGCTTTTAAATCCCTTGAGAACTCCTCACAACACAACCTAACTGCAGCACGTGTTAGAGCCCCACAAGTTCCTCTGCCCAGGCATTTACACCTTCTCTCAAACCATCAAGTGCACATCATCGTGACCCACAGGTAGAAAGTGCATGTCTAAAGCCAATAAGAGCTGGTAAAGGCTTGATGAAAGCTCACTGTGAATGACCTCCAAAAGACATCATCCACGTGAGCTAGAGTATCATACTGAAGGTTGGTAAGGTGTTGGTTTTGAACTGCCTTCACTTGATCAGTGGAATTTTGACTCTTCAACAAAAACTGTCATCTTGCCACCAAGGCATTCAAGATCAGCACATAGAGCATTTCTACTGCTTCTTGTAAATCTGTTCACAGAACACACTCTAAAGAGGAAAAGAAAGCCTCTGTCTACAGGACAAAATAATAAGGGGGTTACAAAAACAAAATAGAAAAACCCTTTGTATATAAAGAAACCTCTCTAGCAGTTGCAAAGACCACTTGCTACCAGCAAGGTATTACTCGATTTGCTAGATAGCTTAGTCCTTGACTTTGTTGAAAAGCAGTTAGTGTCAAACTGAACATTTCGGTGTAATAACCAACATGGATTAAACTGTCCACTCAGAACGGGAGAGAACAAAAAATCCACAGGCAGACTCAATTCAAATGTAGTCCCAGGCAAGACAAGCTGGTTGCTTCCCTCACTAAGTCACCTATCCAGCCTTTGAGTGTTTAAGAACCACTGTGAGGAGTTGACAGTAGAAAAGTAAAAGCAAAATGATGATTCGGATTGAAGGAAAAAAAAAAAAAAATGTACAGTTTAGTATGCTCAAACATACATCTTTATTTGACAACGTCTAAGAAACTAGTGCTCTGTGCCCTAAAGCAACTACGATATCACATACAACACTAAGGATGTGTCAAGTAATTAGTCAATGTCAAACCCAATTTGCCTTTAGGGAAGTCAAAGTAGCAAAACATTCAGAGCTACACAGATCAAAAACAATGAATTTTTAAACCTTAATCTATAAAAATTTGAAAATGGTATGCCCTCACTTTCATAACCAGTCAGAAACAAGAAATGCATATTATACCTGTCTGAAATATTTCATCAAGTCTCTCTGCCACCTTCTGTGGGAGGCCTGCCTCTATCAGTGTCTTGTAGTGCTCTGTGTGAGTTACACTGGAAGTATCCATTGGTTCTTCCTCTTCTTTTAACTGTACCGCATTACCATTCACCTGATTAGCCATTTTATTATGCTGCTGGAAAAAATTCAGGAGCTATATTACAATAAGCCAGAAATAACTAGTTTGTAGGACAATGCATGATTTATCTAAACTAATTTGTATACATGCTGCAAATGACCTGTATCAAAAGTTTTATTTAATACTTTTTGGATGCAGCTGATCTAAGTTTCAAAAGAAAGTACAACCCTTAATACTGTGGAAAATGTACATGGAAGAATTTACATAATTTCTTTTTTTTTTTTTTAAAATGTACTTCATGTACATAACGATGTCTAAACTTTATCTGCTGATTGTCAGTAAGTTAACTGGTTACCATAGCAGCTAGAATGTACTGGGATACGATAATAACATCCTTCAACGAAGAATCAGAAGAGCTAGTGCTATTTTCATTTCCCATTCCTCTATTTTTAAAACAATTGTTTAAAATTTAGTGAACATATAACCCTGCAGGGTAGCTTAATGTATAAAAATGTCAATACTTGTTTGCTAATTTTCACTTTCTTGGCTTGTTGCCATGTCTTCCTTCAAACCCAACATGCTGCGTAAGACTAGCCAAACACTTTCTCACGACACTGTCAGAACGCAGTAAGGATAGAAAGAGGAAAATTTGCACTCTAATGCACGTTACAATTTGAAGCTGCAACTGAACTCTTTCCATGCCTTCAGTTGTACTCAAATAGGAGCTCTACAAATCACAGCTACTTTTTTTATAACATATAACTTATCGGTTTAAAAGGAAGCCATGACTGCAGCATCTTCAGTTCTTATATTAATACATAAAAAAAGACTTGCTTTCAGAATTAACAAACTGATTCCAAATATGTGCACTGAAAAATGCACAACTATCTTCTCAGACAATTCCAGTGGGCTTTGCCCAATTCATTAAAACCAGTTTCAATTTCTCAATTAGCCAGCCAGCTGATATTTAGCACTCTCAAATAAAAAGGCTGACAAGAGACAATTCAACTACCCAGCAGAGAACATTAGGATGATCAGCTGTTCAGTTCAGAAATTAAATGAGCCTCGGGCTTTAAAAGATAGGGAAGAAGTCGATGATCAGCAGTGAAATGATAACCAGATAGACATATGCAGCATGGTCAGAGCAATGCAATTAAGTACTGGAATACAGGTATGAAGATGATTCAAGAACACTTTTTTTTTTTTTTAAAAAAAAAAAAAAACGCTGAAGCCTCAAGCTATTTACTATGCTGCAAAACGAGTCTCCAAACATAACCACACCTCTAACAGTCACTTGTGTACCCATCCCTTCTAGACTACAGCTCACAAACTTTTTGGAAGATATCCTATGAAGATTTGCAAGCTTGAGCAAGGAAAAAAAAAAAAAAATCATTTTTCTTCAGACAGAAAAGTAATGATTTTACTAAAGCTGTCTTGACTTGAAGGGCAATTTTAGAGTTAGGTAATACAGCCTCACATTGTTTCTCTGTCAGATGCCACTTCTTTATGCAATTAGCAAGGAAAAGAGAGAAGTTTTCATAGCTACGTAGCACATATATATGCACACACATTCTGCTACTGGACGAAAAGAAATTGCTTTCTTACCAATTCAGTTCACTTAAAAGCAACCGTGACTATAGCCTAATTACAGAAGAAAAAAAAATGCTACCTGAAGACTACAATAATGCTTACCTATCATTACAAGTTTTAACTGAGTTCTCAAAACACTAACCGAACACGAAGTTTCTATAGGTTACAAAAATCATGGAAAACAAATATCAGCTACATGTCTGCTTGCTAGATAGCCTCTGCGATATCTCAAATTTGAAACAGTGCAGGGCAGATGGGGTGTAGTTCAACTGAAAACGCTTTGGGTACAGTATCATTCTAAATCCCTCTTCTCAAAAATGCATAGGACGATAGACAAAAAAGATACACGGAGGGTTTTTTTGGTTTGTTTTCACCTTTTTACTGCCTTATAAAACCAGTTACTTACACATATATTGTCTTCTCTGTACGCAAAAAAAATCCCACCAAGAACTGTGAGGCTAAGCCAACACATAAAAGTTATTTGAATCAATTACAAGTACTTCCTAAACTTCAATGGCTTATGGTGATGCTCCCAGACATTATTTTTTGTGAACCCAGATTAGCTTTCAAGTGTCACATACCCAAAAGTTTAGCCCTGTTCTAACAGTTGCCTACAACTGAACCAACGGTTGACAGCTACTCTGTGTCCAGGTAGAAACACCTCACCTGCAGTTCAGTAACTCCAGCTTCTGACAGGCAAGATTTGCAGCCTAACGTCATGAAAAGATATCTACCTTCACCACAAACATACACCAGTGTGTGGAGCAATATCTAACCCCTAAGTATCAGATTACTACACAGCACCACAACTGATCAAATGCTTTTCTGAGTAGGCTTTTAGACAACGTAAATTGTCTCAACATCATAATTCACTAGCTGCATGGTTTATGGCCGCTGAAGAATTAGTATCCTCGTAAAGAACTTAAGTCAAATGCAGCACATGATCACCGGCCAGAAAAGTTCAGTTTGGGTGTTCAAACTTTAGCTATTTCCTGTCACATAAACTTAATTTAAAAGACTTTCTTAAAGAAATGCACTCTGGAAAAATTTGAAGTGACATAGCTGCCAAAATATTCAGGTCCCAACAGCATCCAGAAGAAATGTATTTCTTCTCACAGTTATAGTAATAGATTCCCTGCTGGCTTGGCCTGAAATCAGAGATCAGACTGACTTTTCTTCCTCATTGGTCACCAACAAGCAAAATTCATCTCTTGCAATACTGAATCTGCGCTCTGAGTTCAGCAGAGATACGTGGGTGAGAGTAACAGCTGAAAAAGATCTCTTAGCTCTCCCTCTAGATAGCATCAGCTAGATGTACCTATCAAGAAAAATATTTTTAACTGAATTTTATCTGTAAGGAAAACACACAATGATTTTATTAACATTTTTGTTCTCCTCTAAAAAAATATTAAAAGCATATTAAAGAAAAAGAGGAGTAATATCGATGTTTGCGTGCGCAGTGTGTCCATCAGACAGCTGTGACAGGCCAGGCCGCACAGGAGAGCGCCCGCACGTGCTCAAGAGTTTTTCATCTGCATGAAGTAACTCAAGAGGGAGACTGGTTGAATCGAAAAGATTTTAAGTGTGGATTATAAGTAGAGTATTATGTATATTAGTACGTGTGGGATATGTATTTGTTTTTAAAACATGCAGAAATGGATGAATTCAAACCAGTGTACACAAAAACGTGCTTACCAAATGAGCAGCGGTAATAAATACACATTGGGGGCAACTTTGCGTAGGCAAGGAGGATTTCCACTGGTGCCTGAGAGGTCACCTAGCTTCGCCACCTCAGGACCGTGCGTACGGGGAAGGGAGGATTGTCTTGTTTCAAACTTCACACTGTTGTTGCCAACAATGTTTTTCTGAAGACCACGAATACTTCATACCATAAAACATGGTTTTAGCCATCCACTATCTTTCACCTAGAATTCCTGCATCTCAAAAGATTAATTTGCAAAGTGACAAGTCCCTTTTTTAAGCTCTACTCATATGACAAATAGGAGGTTAAAACTACAGGTTCTTTTAAATTACCCAGAAACCCTTCTTTTTCATGTTTAATAACTCCAATGGCTCAAATAGTAGTTTTCCTAGGGAAAAAAATTAACACACACCTGAGCCTGATAGCATATGGCATCTTGAAAACAGAAACTTGATCTCAGCCTCAATCCGACAATCACTGGTTCAACAGCCATGATGTTACTATTCCCTGGATTTTATATCATGCCTCTAACAGAGGTTGCCACCCACAGACTGTCTAAGTATAACTCCATCCAATTAATTATAAATTCACAGCCTAGTTAACTCAAAACATGCTTAGTAACAGCTTAAATGAGCAGGAAAGCAAAGGGACAGTATCTCAAACTACCATAACCAACTTCATAGTCATTATACATCAATCCTGTTTTCAGCCTTCTGCTACGTAACTTTTGATTTCATGGAGGAACTAAACTTGTTTAGCTCAGGTGCACAGAAAGCCTAACTAATTCATACATAAAAACTCCGCACCAAAGTCATTCACCTTGCTTATGTTACTATTCCTTCTATCCAATGTATTCACTGTGTCAAGTGTTGAAGTCATACCACGTTAAAAATAGCATTGAGGGGAAGTTGTTTTTTTTTTGGGGGGGGGGGTGTTTGTTTTTATTTATTTTTAAATGAACCACAAGAAAACAAGTGTAGTCCCTATGGTTATCCTTACACTTCAAGAAGGTTCTTGTCAAAACAGGAAGATAAGAAACACATGAGTGAGGGGAAGATAAGAACTCACATTAAAAGACTGAACCGGGGCTCTATTAAAGCCTCACTTGTTCACAAACATCACTGGCACATCCCTTTATTTTTTACATGAAGGCATTATAGCCATTTGTTTTGTACCATAGCTTATTAAATCACAGAAAGTACATTTTAATAGCTTAATTATGACATACTAGGTGTTTACTAGCATGAATTACAAGAAGACTTGTTTCAAAGTTATCACATCCTGAAGACCTCTACGCGTTGGCCAGGTTTCCATACCCGCATTTCAGTGGCAGGCTATCTTTATGGCAAAGTGCAGTTCGCACCCTCACCCCCTCAGCACAGAGTTCTCAGCCTTTCCCACTCCATAACCCCACGGAATGAAAAAATCTGAGAAGCTCCATCATGATGCTAAGCAAGAGACTAGCACAGCCCGTACAGAAACTATGCTTCAGTGCCTACACAAGGATCATCGGGAGATGACTTTACCACAACTGGTTAGCAAGGTGCACATCAGGGCCATTAAAATACAGCACTGACTGCATCAGCAGCTACTACATTCTGCTAACCCGAACTATAAAGTCTGTACATGCTCGTTTCTAACTGGGGTTGGCCATTCCTAGCTCATCGGGTTGTTTGGGTTGTACAGAACAACCTTCCTGGCACTCTGGTTCAAAGCAACACTTCAACAGAAATGAGCTTTGTTCTGACAGATTTAACCTCAAGGA